TGCTGGTCTGTGTTATCAGGGACTTGTCAAGCGAGTCATCATCTTGTCCAAACTCAGAGATTAGTTCTAGATAGACATTAGTGCTCATGTCACATCATCTACTACAAGTCCTTCCTTCCCTTTCTTTGCTCACTCTGCATGTGGGCTCCACACTTCCTCTGCCCAAATGTCCCCATCAGCGAGATGTTTGCTTTTTATATTCATACTATGTATGGCCATCAGTGCAGATCTTTGCTGAAAGAACACAAACTGGGGACATAAAACAACTATGAAACAGCCATGACTTGGCTATTTGGTATATTTCTGACATGAAGGACTATACCAAAGTCGTTGCCATCATCTATAATTATCTTTTGAATAGTGTGAGCTAGTCATGTTTATATGAGTGTAACTGTTGACTCTAATAAGAGTAGGTTTATATGGGATTGAGGTAGATAGAAGGATGATCTCTCTCTTGTCCAGCTATTACTTTCCTGAACTCCTCAGTGTCCCCTGTTTAAATAAAAATCTAATCCAAACTGGGCAAAGTGTGCTTGGTGTTCCCTGTTGAAACCTACCAGAATCCTTAAACCACCAGCTTTTGTGGTTCACTGACTACTTGAATGAATTATTTTCAACTGATTTGGCACATCTTCAAAGGAACAGATGGTTCCATCTTTACTGCAAAAACAATAACTGCAGCAACAACAAAATAATCTGTGATTCTGCCTGGAAACTCTTTAAATATAAGGGAGAATTTGATGACCATCTTACATTCTTGACAATTACCTCAAGGAAGAAAAATATTTCTCAAGAAAATCACACTGTAATTTACTAAGCAAAGTATCACATCGATGGAGCAGTTGGCTGGGGTTGTGGAGAGACTAAACTGTTATGCAAAAGTTTTTAATAGGACCTCCCCAGCAATACAGCAGCTGGAAAGAGAGACATTATGTAAATATCACGTTGAGAGAACTTCTTTATCAAAGGTAAAAATAAACTAATATATGTTACAAAGAAAAGCATAGAAGAAGAAAATGGGAGCCATTTTCAGAGAAGCACACATGACATGATTAGGAATATGCAGCAAAAGTGTGAGAGATTTCAAATCTCAAACAGCCAAAAGTTGTCCAGATTATTATCCAGTTTGTTTTAGAGAATGATTTTAAATCATCATGGTCCAGAAGTGTTTGTTATAAACCAGTATCCAGTGCATCTTTGGAATGGGATCCTCCTAAATTTGCCTTTAATATTGCATAGGAAAAGTAAGATAATCGACAAGGTAATTTTCTCCAATTATTGAAAAGGAAGTAATCAGGTATACAAGATTAACATCAGGGACACAGCAATAAATAGTGCTCATAGTTTTAAAGACATACTGGTTCCCAAGTTTTAAGGGTAATATTTAAAAAGTGACATTCATTAAGAAGAAAACCTTCCCCTGTACAGACTAGCTGTCAAATATTAATATGAAATCTGATTTCTTTTTTTAATATCTATTTTTAAATTCTGAGTAAATTCTCCAGGATACTGGAGAGCATTACAGGAGAGATACTCTCCTGCATACAAGACCTATGCCAGTGTCAGTTTTCTGTCTTCTACAGGTAATTCTAATTATCGTGCCACAGAAGAAGTATTTGGGGAGCTACTTCAGCCGATGTGGCAATTAAACATTTAGTTGCTGTACCTTTGGCTTTTCAGCTCTTCTGTTCAGCTGGTGAACAGGGCGGGGAGAGGATCCTGCTTAAAATCAGTACGATGTGGGCTTAATTTTCTGGTTATTTTTCAGCTAGATTTGCTTCCTGATCCAATTCGCTGCATGGATCTGGTGATGAGACAGCCACGTGGGGGTAGGAATAAATCCTAAGGAGCACAGACTTCGTAATCTAGAGCTGCTACTGAGTCAATGCAGGTCGGGCCATGGCTGGAATGAACAAATGTGTTTCTCTGCTTTCGGGTCAGGCAGAGCCAGGCTCCGTGAAGGAAACCTCCGCTTGAGAGCAATGGATGTGATTTGCATTGACGGGATGCCTTTGGGGGGAAGTGGTCTAGGCATCGAGGGGGTTCTCTGGGGGAGATTATTCCTACAAGCAGCCTTGACAGGTCAGGCAATTCCTGGCAATGTTCTCAGGGAAGTACTTCTGCCGTAATGTGGTCTGCTCCCTCGCTGAGGTACAGCTGGTATTTAACCGAGGGCTTCGAGGGCCCTGAACATCTGTCAGAGAGGGTGAACAGGTGGAATCCAGCTGTGGCCACAGTTGTTCCTTGCAATTCATGGATTATACTAAATCCTGTGAGATGCTCCTTAGACTCCCTAGGAAAAGCCCTTTACTCGTAGGTTAACATTTTGCCCTCAGTCTGTAGCCCAGGTCTCTGCTCGGGGAGGATTTTATTTGCTGTTTACACAATAGCAGCTATAACAAGGAAACATGGAAGCATCCTTAGGTTTTAAATAATTGTATTTGGTAAGTATACACAAAGAGCTTGACTGCACTCTCACCATTGATCTGACTCATTTCTGGCAGCTGCTTTACCCTGATGCAGAGAGATTATTTTTTCGAGTGCTTACAGGATACTTACAGGGGTATTTATTTTTCCTGTGTAATAAAAATGATGGTAACAATTAGCAGTCAGCAAACAGCCTATGGCATGATTACAGACATAGGTAGCTTTTTGAAATATGTTGTGTGTTTAACAGAGTAATTTTATTTTGCTTAAGTACTACTTAAATATTCCTTACACTCAAACATTCCTAGAGGGGGAAAAAGCCATTGTATAAGAAAAAGGTTCAGGCTGTTCTTAGTGGGATCAATACAGCTCCTCTGTTTACACGATTCTAAGCAGGATATGTTGGGTAAAATACTTTGGGGAAAAGTTCTCTTACTGAATATTGAATGATAGGACTTCTTTTTCGTAATTAGTTCATATTTAATGAGTGTTTCATGAGGCCTACATTTAAGCTGAGTTTAAGAATCTGTTTTTCTATGGATTATTGAAGGAAGACCAAAAGTATTTAATGCACATGACTTGGGCAAAAAATGTTTCTTCAGTATGTAATAAATAAGGTGATGCAAAATAAAATGTCTCTTTTCTCCTTTTATGTTCAGTGGTTGACAGTTCTTATTTTTTTTTTTTTATTCTGTATCTTCTATTTGCTGTCATTTTTCTCATGTCTCTAAATGAGTTGTAACTTTCAACTGTTTTGTTGTCCATCAAAATCAGAAAACAGAGAAATCTCACCAATTGAAAACTTTTGATTTCTCAGTGCTACGTATTCTGTCATTCTCAGTTCAGCCTCAAATTTAGGATCTCTCAGAGGGAGAAGACGCATCTTTGGTGAAGACTGACTTTGTCACAGCTTGACAGCACATTATTATGTGCCTTGGTTTTATAGGCTTTGCTATCTCATGTTTATTGAAATTTGAAAATAAGTTGAAAATTCAAAACAAATTGCAGTCAGAGCTGTAGGACAGTCTTGTTGTGCACTGCCGCACATTTTAAACCCTTTTTGCTGACTGAACCTTTTTTTTAATTAAAAAAAAGAACTTTGAGCATGTGTCCTAGCTAGTAATTATGCTGATGGACTTGAAGCTGTAAGCGCTTCACAGGGAAGACTGGAAAAATACACATGGAGAGTCAAACTGGACGGTGAGATGAGTCTGAAGTCGTTCTGTTTGTGGGATTTTGCTGACTCTCTGTGGAATGTGAGTCTTTGTGCTCAAAGTGTTCTTCACAGTCCTGTTCTTTGCAAAGAGGTTGCCTCTCCGAGAAGTTAGACAACAGAGTGAGCCCTGTCTTGAGCCAGAGATCTCCGAGAAGTTAGACAACAGAGTGAGCCCTAGATGGCAGCAGAAGCTCCTAGGAATCAGCTCTGCAGGCGTGAGGGTTTTCCGTATTCTTTTGGATATAATCTGTTCCCTGTAAAAAACTGTTGGGTTCAAGAGGTATAATTCATAGCAAATGAGTGTTGGAGGAAAGGATTTTACCTAGAAAGGCTTCATACCAGCAGCAGAGCTGGGGAGAAAGGGGGATGTGCTGGTTTGTGTCCTACGGCTGGAAAAAACTTAACCTGTACAGACGTGAAAATTCCTGCTGGCTCTTTGGATGATGGTTTTGGCTTTCAGTGGGATGACGTGGCTCTTCACCTGTGCTCCATCTAGAGGGCTCTTCCCAAAGAGCCAGCAGAAGCTGAGGTTAAACTGCATTTTCAGGCTGCTGTAGTCAGTATCCGTGGGCTGCCTTTCTAATGAAAGGGAGTGTCAGTCACTTAATGAGGGTGAATTCAGTCAAACAGAGAAAGATTGAGGAAGAGAAACAGGCATGTAGATCTCTGAAATTATATAAAAGTACAATTTTTTAAAGTCATCTTATGAAGCGTTCTTTTTTTTCTGTTTGGAGGTGAGGAGAACTTACTGCTGTTTTGATCAGTGGTCCCTCAGCATTAAAAGAAAAGTCTAACAATTTTCTTTCTCTTTCTCTCACTGATTCTACAACTCATAGTTCAAGTTGTACAGGCTTTTAAATGCCAAGGGTGCTTTCATGTCTTCAGCATGTTTCTGTTAAAGTGTTATAATGTAGGATCATGTTTAGCTGATAATTGTGTACAACTTAATTTGTTGTTTACTATTTCACCTAGATATAAAATGGGACAATGACATGGCAGGTACATGGCAGGTACATTTTGATGATGTGTTGCTAATTATCTGCAAGAAGCTTTGGGAACCTCATATGAAGTTTATGTTTAAAGTTTACTGTGTTGCAGAATGCTGAAGGAAATAGAGAGGGTGAGACAGAAGGGTAAGGAGATGGGAATTTCTGTGGTGGATACTGCTGCTTCACCAGTCTCTGCCTGCTTTGCGTCTTGCCTAATTAGCTTGTATTTAATCTCTTGGAGCAAAGGGTGCTCTGCTACATGTTTGTCCGTCACGAGCACAGTGAGATCCCACTAGAGGACTATTCCAACAGTGATAACTGGGTTTGGTGTCATGTCTTTTTTCTTTCTTTTTTTTTTTTTTTTTTAGTGAAAATGAGCAAATTAAAGACCATAACTGAGATGTTTACAGTTGCAACATGGTGAACAAACAGATAAGGTAATTTTACCCCTTCTGCTAGTTACCAAAGCAACACTCACTATAAAGATCCTTTTAATTTAGTTTAGTGCTGTGAAGATTAAAGCTTAATTAAAATGCTGATATTAAAAAAAATTTAAAACCTGAAACAGCATGGAAAAATAGAAAGACATAATTATGGTCCAGTGAATACTTATCACTTGTTATGAAGCTTTGGAGAAGAGGTGTTTTTTTCTCTCAATTGAGAGTAATTTTATTCTGATCATAAACTTGAATGACCAGAACAACCTAGGATCATAGCTGTTTATAAATTAATAAGGACAGTTGGAAGGAATGTGTTATTCTGCTCATAAAATACAGGATAGTAAGATTTTCTCTGCAGGTCCATTTCCTCAAAAAGTTCTCTTGCATACCCATCAGGGAGAAAGACTTTACGAAGACAAAAATAATTGCTGTACTCCACTATTTAACATGGCTTGCATAGAAATATTTAATATTAAAGATCTCTTACTTGCAAATTAATTAATAAACATACCCTATTGTGAATTTGGAAGGGGTCAGGGGTACTAACTGGCATCGTTTCCTTTTATCAACAGAGCTACACTAATTTGTACCGGGTGAAAAGATATGTGGAGGACTCAGTGTGACATAATTATTAGAAATTCCTCCAAGAATGAGACTTTTATCACTTTTGTTGGCTGGTTAAACATTTTGTTGCTTTGCCAGATTTGTCCTAATGAGTTTAAAATCATTGTGGAGAAACCATATGTTTGCCCAGTAGAAGGCAAACCAAGACGTGAGACAATATTCTTTCACTGCAAAAATTAAAGTAGTCATCTCTGTCCATGACAAAGCAGGAGCACTATGGGAAGAGTAGCTTCAGCTTTTTAGCTTTGTTGATGGCTGTCTTGATAGTTCCTTCAAGAACTTACTGGGCAAGATACAATAACTATTACCCTGGAGAAATAACTCTGAAGACAACTGAACTAAAAATGCCCTTTTACTAACTTACTCTGTTCAAGCATTTTAAAGCTAACTTCAGTCATATATCACACATTACTTCTGTTCACAGAATCATTAGTAAAATTATATATTTAGTCTTTCATCAAAGCAGCATTGCATTTATTACAATATTGTGATGACTGCTCTTGATAGAACTCAGCCCAGTAGCGTAACTGTGACTTCTTGCCCCAGGATGCTGTGGAAACGGAAAGGTTACTGGACTTCAAGGACAAGCTCATGGAAATAAATCTACAGAGGTCACCAAAACTGTCAGGTGAAATGCAAATGACCAGAGGCTGAGGGAGCCCATGGGTGAAGTATTTCATCAAAGTCTGCCCCGTTCTTAGGCTCTTTCCTTGTATCTTGTTTTGCCCATTGTTGGAGACAGGGTATTACATTACCTTTGGAGCTTTGGTCAGGTCCTGTACAAGAGTCTTATGTTATGAAACAATTCTAGCAAACAAAAATTTCAACTTTAAAAATATTGTCTTTCTTTTTCTAATCAAGATACAAATTAATTTCCTGGCTTCCAGGTTGGCATATATATTTATACATGAGATGTCTATGGGCCTACAACTTGGTTAGTTAGTTATTCCAGGGTACATTGCTGATTTCATTAGCTAAGTTGTTAAGAAATCTCATGCTATAAATTTCTCTGGTGGTGTCCCTGCAAAACTTGAAAAAAGAAATTTTAACCAGGCAGTACTGCAGGAAGCTCTCCCATACACACCGGCTTGGATCACTGTCTTTGAGGAGCCATAGATTATGAGCACATGAAGGGCTATATAATTTAATATCATCCAAGAGCAAGTGCAGTTAAATAATATCATTTCCATCTTAAGAAAGGTGAAGTATTTTTGTTCACAAAGACTTATTAGTGTCTAATATCTGCTTACAGAAAAAAAAAAAGAAAAAAAGCCATGTAAATTTATTCTAGAATTCCATTTTACAATTTACCCTGCCAGGGGCTCAGGCTATTTATGTTTTTGACTGCATCATCTTCACTAAACTTAAAAAAAAAAAAATTTCCATGGTAACCACTGCATCACACAACAAAGACATGTATATGCCACTTAGATCTTTAAAAAAGCAGAGTCTGGAATGAAATTATAGCCTGCATTTTTTTACAAAATAATATTCTTCTTAGTAAATACTTGTTTTGTTGTTTTTTTCAAGAAATTCAATTTTTACAGTAAAAAACCAGCATATAAAATAATGCATTTAAAATAGCATAGTCCTGCCATAAAACTGTTAACTTTATGAGAGCCACTCATGCAGATGAGATCACTGGGCTGTAAGAGAAGAGGGGGAATGGGTGTGAGACGGTGGGATTCTTTCACTCTGTCTTTCTGCTATTTCTCCTAGACATTATTTTTCAATTTTTATAGCAGGAAAATGCTAAGGACACAGCAGTCATATATATATACACACACATATATACATCTTATTACCATATATATATGGTTATATTTTCAAACTGATACGTACAGGTGCTGTCCTGTGGAAAAAAAAAGGGGAGACCATTCAGTTTGTCTCCAACTTTTTAATGAAGTTCAATATTTTCGCATGAGAAAATATTATATATTTTATATATATAATATATAATATTTTTATATATATTATTATAAATATTTTTATGTATATTATATATATTATATAGCCCTCTAATAATGCTTCTCATTTTTCCTCTTTCAGTTCATGCACAGCATCCCAGACCCCAGACGTGCACCGTGACCCGTGCAGGTAGGCTGTGTTGCAGAGAACCTATATGGGAAAGCTTGGAGGTAGAGCTCACAGTGGGTTGTCTGGTTGCCACTTTGGGGGTCCAGTTCCTACAAGGGCTGATAAACATCTCCAGAATGTCAGAGCTGAATATTCATGTCTGCTCATACAGCAGCATCAAACAGCTGGAGGTCTGTGTAGGGTACCAGCAGTGCTGGTCTCTTCTCACAGGTAATTAGTGACAGAACGAGAGGGAACGGCTTCAAGCTCCAACAGGGGAGGTTTAGATTGAACATGAGGAAGGAATTTTTCACTGAAAGAGTGGTCGGGCATTGGAACAGGCTGCCCAGGGAGGGGGTGGAGTCACCATCCCTGGCTGTGTTTAAGGGCCGTTTAGATGCAGTGCTGAGGGACATGGTGTAGGGGAGGACTTTGTAGAGTAGGGGAGATGGTTGGACTCGATGATCCCAAGGGTCTCTTCCAACCTAGACGATTCTATGATTCTATGATTATTTTTGTGGTTCAAAACAGTTCTAAGGCAAAAAGCAAGTATCCCAGCTGAATTTTGGGGAGAAGTCTGGCATTTTGGTTTGGTCTCATGGATTCCAGTGACGTGCCTCTGGACTGAAGAGTGATGGATTGTTGCCTGTGGCTTTAGCATGTGGCTACCAGCCTTCTGGCATATTATGCAGGGTTTCTGGCAGAGGCTGCTTGTTGGAAGAGCCCTGCTCGTGTTGGAATCACTTTCCCACTGGAACAAGCAGAGTCTGAGACTCCCTCCCTCTCTCTGCACTCTGGAAATCCTTCATCTTTTTGGCAAGCAGAGCCGCTTGCCAATATTTTAGCCCTCAGCAATTTTTTATGATTGAGTTATAAAACCTGGAAATATGAGCTTATAATGAAAATGCCAGCACCACATTAAAAAAATAGCAGGGGCAGCGGGCACTGCTGTAATGATGCTCCTGCTTTGGTTTTAATCCCTTCTCCCAGCCCTGCTCTGCTTCTGCAGCCCTGGGTGTCAGGGATGTTCTCAGCACCTGATGCTCCAAACGCAGTGTGTGTGGGTGTGCAAAGGGCAGGTTCCCAATGAGCTCCCTCAGCACACAGCCGAATTTTGAGCCCTGCTACATCATTCCAAAAAGGGAGAGGAGAGGCAATAAACAAAGGGATGGGATACAATTCTCATAGGACTAAATGCTTGCTATCTGTAATTGATCTTATACCTAGGAAATGCCAACAATTTTACTTTTTACTTCTTGTTTATTACAATTCTCATAGGACTAAATGCTTGCTATTTGTAATTGATCTTACACCTAGGAAATGCCAACAATTTGACTTGACTTCTTGTTTACACCCATTTACCCAACAAAATAAGGGAAGACCAGACTCTTGTCTCATGGGGAAAGGGAAAGTGCTTTCCCTTTGCTCCTGGTGCCAACAGCCTTGGGATTATTCTCCATTTCTACAGCTGTCTTTGCCTCTTCGGGTCACCTGGGTATGTCTTGGTTTCCATCTGTTGAAGAACCTTTTTGAACCTAATGGACATAGTATTATCTCCTGCAACTTGACATACTTCCATCTAACTAGAATTTGTGATCTTGCCACCTTTCTTTGTTTCTTTTTGTAGAAAAAGAAAATAAAAATAAGAGAAGGCTCTGAGGAGACCTTCGAGCAACCTTCCAATACCTAAAGGGGGGCTCATTATCTTGGTTTCCATCTGTTGAAGAACCTTTTTGAACCTAATGGACATAGTATTATCTCCTGCAACTTGACATACTTCCATCTAACTAGAATTTGCGATCTTGCCACCTTTCTTTGCTTCTTTTTGTAGAAAAAGAAAATAAAAATAAGAGAAGGCTCTGAGGACACCTTCGAGCAGCCTTCCAATACCTAAAGGGGGGCTCGTTATCAGGGAGCGTAGTGATAGGACAAGGGGTAATGTTTTTAAACTGAAAGAGGGGAGATTTAGATTAGATATTAGTAAGAAAGTCTTTCCTGTGAGGGTGGTGAGACGTTGGAACAGGTTGCCCAGAGAAGCTGTGGCTGCCCCATCCCTGGAGGGGTTCAAGGCCAAGTTGGATGGGTCTTTGAGCAACCTGGTCTGGTGGAAGGTGTCCCTGCCCAGGGCAGGGCATGGAATTAGATGGTCTTTAAGGTTCCTTCCTTAAAACCATTCTATGATTCTATGATCTTGGCATCTGGCTGAAGTTTAACAGCCTGGGACAGGGTGGAGGCCAGGGCTGCTGTGAGTAGTGGTGCCTTTGAGGGAGGGCAGTTTGGAAATGCCGACAGCTTCACTTCTGCCTTTCCCTTTACACTTCCCATTTCTCTCCTCCTTTCCTCTGCCTGTGCCTTCCTCCTGTCAGGAGCTCATCTGACTGAATGCTGGAGTGGAAGATTAGGAAATTAGTAAATTAATGGTATTTGAATATCTGTTATAATAGAGTGTCACATATCCAAACACAGGAGTGAGAATTCATCGCACTAGCCATTGATTCTGAATGTGCAGCAGATCACTATGTCCATCAAGGCAATCCTCTACAATTAGTCATTCTTGACTGAAAGTTATTATTATGATAGCTGCTAATGAATTACTTTTTGAAAGTCATTCTGGTGTCACGGTGCTGGGGGCTGCGAAAGTGAAGGCAAAATTTACCGTCATGAAGCTGGAAGAGAATAGTGGAGTCAGGGGAAATAAAATACCCATGGATTAAGCTGGATTACAAGTGGTAGTAAAAGTAAAATGAAGGAAGACTGCAAATCGAAAAGGGTTGAAACGTTGAGACATAAACAAAGACGAGCTGAGGAAAGAGAGGTAGTTACATTTCTTTAGCAAAACTTCCTTAAACTTTCCAAGTGGGGTGGGACGGAAGGACCTGTTTCACAGTACACTGCTGCTTAGAGCCTTGGCTGTGTGATTTCTTCCAGCACTAGAAATGTGTTTTAAAGAAGAGTTTACATTGCTATGGCAACCATGTAGACTGGCCATTTCTTTGCTGTACTCACAAAATAAGAGAGCATAAAATCCCAGAACATTTTTCTGCATTTTATGCAGCCCTATAACCCATCTGTGAATTAGCTCGTGATGGTTACAATTAAGCTTTTGTCTCATTGGCCCTTGCACTTGTCTATTCTACTTTTGTTTCTTTTCACCTGAAATATGTCCTTCAGAGGCAAGATCTCGTTAATCACTGTCTTGCCCTATAGTATAACTCTACTGATTGTCAGAGATTACCTGTAACATGTAAGCAACCCATTGATGAATGAGCCCTTGAAATTCCACGTTTAATCTCTGTGGCAAAATACTATTTCTGTTAATATTGCAGTTTCTTCACTTTAGATAATTGCACCTTTCTTGATTGTCAGATACTCAGTGAAATAAGCGGGAAGAGAGGAATGACTGTAACTGAATCACTTGAGAAATGACAACCCCTTTCTCCTCCTCCTCCTCAATTACACCATCTTTATGACAAAACACAGAGAAAAAGATGCTCTCCTATCTGGGAGAGACGAGCAAGTTGATTGGCAAAAGGTTGACATTCACAGCTTCAATACCTGAATGCTGAGCGCACCAGCTAGAGCGAGCCCCAATCCCTATGTGGGACGGTCTAGCAATTATTTTCAAAATAAATAATAAAATACTGAAAGTGTCCTCTGGACATGTATTAACAAGCAGTAGTTTTGGATCCAGCCAGCGTGTTTTCTTTCGCTCAGGACCATGTTTCCTCTGGTCAGCCCATGCTCACAGGAGTAACTGGTGAAGCTGAAATGATATTTTCGTTGTTGATATTCTAATTTAAGAACAGTGTTGCATGTCCATACTTTTAAAACATGGACCCCTTTCTATAAATTACATGTTTATATTTTCGTAGCTACTGAATGTTTTATATGCAATTTCTGGGAAAATAATATCTCCCTGCCTGGTAGCCTGTCAGCTCCTATTGTACGCAATTAAAAAAGGGCAGTGCAAGCAAAGTAAAAGCCTTCTGGGTTTTTGAGAATCTAATCTTTGTGAGAAAAGGAATTTGAGATGTGAGCAGTAATGCATTGTGGTACGGCGGTGCATGAGCAGCATTTTATTTTTTTTTGTTCTTGTCCTGATTACGTTGCTTCAGTGGTAAGTGAGGTAACAGTTTAAAGAACTCATTATATGGAATGACTCTTGTCTGCTGTGATACTTAAAATCATCTTGCGACACTCTGGAGCTCAATGCATAAAATATTAGCTCGGTAAGTAACTCTCCCACTGGATAGAGCCTTTTTCTTTCAGAAGTTAACCTACGGATATGAGAAATCCGTCCTTGCATATAGTGTCTGATCCAGTGCCAGTGCCTAAGGATGTCCTTGGAAAGATTCCCATCTTTAAACACTGGATCAGGGTCCTGGTGCAGTAGCTGAAGTGCTGAGGTTTGGATTGGCAGCAATAAATTACGGCATTACTGTTTTAAAGTAGGAAAAAGGCTATAAGAACATAGGTTGACAGTAAAATACTGACAAGAAAAAGCAAGAGCTGTGTGAAGGCAGAAAAAGGGAATTTATAGGAAAAAAAACCACCTTGGGAATCATGAAGATTAAAATAATAGGTGTTTTTTTCAGTTTGTTCACATTTGCTACAACATACAGGCAAGGGAAAAACAAAGTATTTTTCTCCACTCAGGTAAATATTATACCTGTTTCAAAGATGTGAAGGGTAGGACAGAGAAGTACATCACACAGGGAAATTGGGGGTGATTATTGCAGAATAGCCAAGGTGCAAGTGTTGAGATGTCCTGCCCTAGCTCCCCAGGCTAGCATAATTAGGTGGCTGCAAGATCAGATATCTTTTGCCCAGAATTACCGAATATGGTGGGAACTGGCAAGTCTGCACATGATCTTGAAGGCACACTCAGCAGGGAAGGAGACAAGAGCTGTAGTAGGTTTTTAAGGCTTTTGGCCTCATATTTACAAGCCTGAAGACATGAGACTCATCTCAACAGAACAGTAAGCAAGCTTGGAGCAGAGGTTTAGGTGATAAGCCCAAGATCATGTGTGCTATTTTGTTAACCCATTAGGCAAGCGGGCTTTTTGCTCCTGTATTTGCACAACGTTTTGTGCAATTAGCTTTTGATCCATGTATCCCTCTAATGGGATCGGGGCTGAACAACAGCGAGTTATTAAGGCTGACATCAGAATTTATGAGGCCCTGGTGCTCAGCCATGTGCTGTGAAGAACAAAGCATGCATAAGCAAATTAACAAACCCAGTAACCTCTCTGGACATGCAGGAACCATGACATTTTGCATGGTGTTGTAGCAATGCTGGAAGCCAACAAAGAGACTGGTTTCTCTCCCAGAGCTCCAGTGAATTTGATGGCATTGCACAGACTCGGGCATATATTAAACAGAGCCATGTTTACTTGTGCTGCATAAGAATCACAGGGGGAAGTAAAATCAATGTTTTCCAAATGGAATAGAAAGAAGCCGTGAGGAAAAGAAATGGTATTTTCAAGCTTCTTTGAAAGGTAACACAAACAATGCACAGAGTAAAGAAATTCTTCAAAGAAAAAGCACTTGCCAATGTCTTCTTCGCTCTGTATTTACTTTGCTTTGGAGGCTTAAGGCATGGTAGGTCGTTGGTATTATTTTAAAAGGGGGGGGTGAATGTGTGAATAAATGGGCTTTGGAACCGATGTTTTGAATTGCAAGCTGCACAATGCATCTGTACATCTTGACAGCAAGAGAAGGTGCTCAGATTTTAGAGGGGCACTGAGATGACACTGAGAGTGCATGATGCAGTCGCGTAATGAAACGGAGATCAATGTTAAAATGGATGTAACACCACTAAGGAGTACACACAGATCAATACTCTTGTAAGCCGTAGAGTATAATCTCGCTACATAGGTCTTGTTAGATGGTACAGTCAATGCTATAAAGACACATTTTTCTGCATTTCTCGAATGTACTTCTGACTTATCTGTCCCAAAGACTGTTTTAAAATGTCCTTCTTTTAGAACATAAAGGACTGAATCGTTGTCTTCCCACTCATGCATGCTAAGGAAAATATACAGTGCTTCATAGTAAACTCACAGCCCTCAAAAATGTGACATAGGAAGATAAGGTGGACAGTCAGCAATGATCTGTTAAGTCTTTGAAATATTGTTTTATCCCTGTCTCCCTTTACTCCCTCCTCCTTTTCTTTAAGGAATATATTTTAAGCACAATTACTGAAAATGCAATCTCAAGGGAAAGGGGGAGGTCAGTCTTGCAGCCCTCACTCATATTGTGCAAAGAAGTCGCTTAAGGTTATTTTCCACCTCCTGATTTTTAGAGCTTAAAACCATTAAAAAAAGATCAGAGAGTTTCTGTCTTTTTCTGCTGCGTGGATAGCCTTGGAAATAGAAGGTGGCTACTACTGTAGGCTGAAATGCTTTCTCTCCCTCTCATATATAGGTGTGTATGTATGTACCTATGTATATTTCCTAAAGATTTCACGCTATCCACATTTATTCTCATGCCACTGCAAACTTAATGCCTGTGAGAATCCCCGTGTTTTCACTTTTATAGTTGGATGATTTGCAGGAACTGTTGACAGTCAAGCTGTGGGTAATGACTCCAGCATGCCAAGTCAAACTGGTTCCCACAAGGAAATAGCCAACATAAATGTAAGAGAATAGTCAAAAGTTTATTTCCTTCTTGACAGGCGGAAATTTATTTCCTCCTCTTGACTGGAAGAAAGAAAATATATATATCTCAGCTTCTAAATTTCGTTTGTCTTCTCCTCCTTAATACAGGTACTTGTATTTTCCCTTGTAACTTCCAAAGGAAGCTACTGGTTTTACCCCTCCATTGTTAAAGCTCAGATGTTTTTACCCATTTACTCACTGAGGAGACTTTGTTTTGAATTTCTTTGCAATAGAAAGTATTCATATTTTTAAAGAGTGGAGAACAGCTAAAGCAAGTAAAAATAAATTAATAAATACATAATTACAGTGATGCTTCAGAGAAAAGTTTCTAGGCAGAAGCTAATAACAATGACTAGAGATACCCTTAATATTGTGTGTTGATTCTAGATCCCCTGGGACAGTCTAACAATTAAGCATGTGTTTTCCTGTCCCTTTTGGCCTTAATAGCTATTATGATCATTAAGTGTAACTGCCCTAGACTCTGGTTGCTAAATGCCTTTGTGAGTCCAAGACCGAGTCTGTATCCCCTTGTGAGCGTATTCGGTTGATGAGAAAAAGAAGTATTTTCATTATTCCTCAAGACACTGTTCTCACTCCCATTCCAAAGCTCTACTTCCCTTCCAGAGCAACTCTTTCTGAACTCTTCTTTCTGAACTTCAGTTAATCTTTACTCTTTCTGACACTGTAGCAGCTCTAAAATGCCATTGCTTTTCCCCGCATTTATCATCCTCTTTTTCAGTGTTTGTGGTTGACCCCATCCACTGCAGTCTTGGCTGTGTGGCTGCTGAGCTGGAAGAAACAAACTGAATTGTCACCGCTGCGAAGGCCCCTCTTAAGCAGATGCTCTTCATGATGCAGCTCTGGCCTCAGAAAGTTCAGTGTTATCAGAAAACCTTCAACCCTAGTTTCTTCCAGAATATTACCAACATTTCTTCTACTCCCATGGGAAAAAAAGCAAAAGCTTGTTAAAGGGGTTGTTCCCTGTCATATTAATTGGCAATGCCAACAGGAGATATGGGAGCTGCAAGTAAAGGAACTCACTTTCTCTGCTGCAGAGAGAAGCATTGCAAAAGAAATACACAAACAAATCCAGGCACAAGGTTTTTGACTGATCTGTCACTCCTTGCTGAACTCGCCTGAAATTTATTGCCAGTCAGACAGCATTTCTCTCTGTTTGCTGATTTGATTGAAAGGATGATTTATCAAGGCTCAACATCACTTTGAACGCTGCGCTCCCGTCCGAAGGGTAATGAGTTGTAGGCACCTCTCATGCTCCTTCCCTGTGTGGCTGGGAGATTGCAGGGCACAGTGAGGACCTCATGGTGGCTTCAGGATGAGCCCACTCCTCGCCCTTCTGAGCAGGAGAGGACAGATATCATTTATCAGGAGGTTTCAGGTACCTGTGCAGAGACAGAAAGGGACCATGGATGAAAGAGAGGGAGCGGGATGGGAAATGGCAGTGGGAAGGACAATGAAAATGGCAAGAAAAGGATTGAAACTACCAGAAAATGAAAGGAGAGCTTATTGTTGTCACTGTTATCCCCACTGTCGCTTCATAATGGTGGCTTAAGGCTGTTTGACATCCTCTTGGCTGCCTACCATAGCAGAGTCCCATCACAATGTAGTGGAAACTAATGCCTTCTGTCTGCGCGTGTGTTTGATTTGGTTACAGTGAGTTTTTCTTAAGCAGCACTGGTATTTGTTTCAATCACAACAATACCCATCGTCTCACCTTAATTTACAGAGTCATAACTAGCAGTATTTCTTTTCAGCATAAAGAGTGCATTGGAACAAATGCCACTATTTATCAACTGTAATGCAGTTCTTTATAAAGGTCTTATGTGAGCAAAGAATAAAAATGCAATGATAGTCTCACAATAAATACCCTAAATCCTTTATTGCCTATTTATGGTGTAATCTCTCTACAGTTGTACAATATATGACTGTTTAGAAAAAGCTCCAGAACACAGTTATATGGTTTATTTACCAGGAGATGGCAATGGTGATCTACTGCAGTATTAACTTATATACAAGGGCCATATAATTCTTCCGCAACACCACAAACTTCAGTATGAATGAAACCAAAGTATTCCAATACTGTTTTTTCCTTCCTTATTTCTAACTTGTTTCAGTTGCTGGTATTCATTGTAAAGAAAGTCTTTTCTTCCCTTCACATTTTTGATTGAAATTGCTGTCACTACACTTTTTAAAGATGTCTAAATACAATCATACTGGTATTCTGGAAAACAGAATATTATTTAAAAACAGAGCAGCCAATACCATTGAATTAGATATGCCACGTGTCAGAAAAATCAAATGATTGATGAAAGTAAAAGCTTCAAAAATGCATTTAGTTTTACAGTATCCAAATTGAACTTGAGTAGTTAATGAAAAATAAATTATAGGTTAATCTATTAAAAATCATGTTATAATTTTCTATTAAGCTGCTTGAAGTATGATCTTAAAGTACATACGCCAGCTGTTTTACAGAACCTGAAATTAACTGTGGTCTGCAATGTTGTCTGAGTTGTCACATTACCTTGACCTCTAGTAAGGTGTGCATCAATCAGTGCAGCATTGGTGGTCATTTGTAGAAGATCGTCGTCATGACCAGTGGAAGTAAAAGTCTGGCTTTTTATGGGATTGTTCTATGTACCTTTATATCCTTCTCCACCTGACTGCCCATTTGTGACATTTATCCCCAGAAAACTTGTATATGTTGACAAGTTGGTTTGTGCATATTTACTGGATATTTGGCTGTTTTCAAGCAGGAGAAATAACTGATGAGTCTTGTATTTCAGCAGTAGGACAATGTAGATGGTCACTTTCCTCTCCCCAACTATATCCCTGTCCGTAAGGAGTGAGCTGGGGAGGCTGCTGGCTTGCTCACCCTACTCTGGAGGAGATCTGGGGTCTGTGTAGAGCAGATACCATCTTTTACCAGGGAACTACTCCCATGGTTGGCCTTTCCTCTGGTATTCTGAGATACACAGTCCACGTCTTACAACTGCCAGTACGTGGCTCACATTTGGGAGGGTTCTCCACCCTCAAGTTTGATTGCATCTGCTCTTCACAACGTTAAATGCCAGCATTATTGCCTTTCCTCTGTTATTATTTTAGTGTTCCCAAAAAAGACAACCAGGAATGTAGAAGTGCAAGGCTGTGAGAGGAGCACAGAACAGGTAAGGAGCACTTATCTGTAACAACAGACAATAGGAGGAAAAAGCACATTGTTTCACTCATGTGAAGGTCTCAATTTTCTGCTGTTTGAATTGCATTTACTTTTCTAAAGCCCTTCTTCACCACAGTGTCTACCTTTCTACCTCAACATTATCTTCCCTTCCTCTGGTCTGCATTGTGCTACTCGCTCAAATCCCATCTTTACAAGGGAAACCTAGCAAATTTAGAGCATACACACAGAACTTCCCTTAATTCTGTTATCTCCACAACTTTATATCAGACAACTTCTGTGTTGGGGGTCTGTCTGCTCAGCACTCACGATGTGCTTTCTGGGGGAATGACTATCTCCACCTAATCAGTAACAAGAGATACCTATATACACTACAGCGATGACACATTATACATCTGCAACATCTTCTTTCCACTCACAGATCCCACAGGGTACAATGGAAAAACAGA